TTCCATGTGTCTGTTGGCTGCTTGGATGTCTTCCTTTGAGAAGTGTCTGTTCATATCTTTTGCCCACTTTATAATTGGGTTGTTTGGTTTTTTCTTTTTAGCACGTTTGGGTTACTTATAGATCCAAGATGTTAATCCTTTGTCAGAGTTGGAAAATACTTTTTCCCAGTCTGTGGGCTGTCTCCCTGCTCTCTTGATGGTTTCTTTGGCTTTGCAGAAGCTTGTCAGTTTAATGAGGTCCCACTTGTCAATCTTATCTCTTATGGCCTGTGGGTTTTGGGTTTTGTTCAGGAATTGGATGCCAGTTCCAATTTCCATAAGGGTATATCCTGCATTTTCTAAAGTTCTTATGGTTTGAGGTTTTACATTTAGGTCTCTGATCCATTTAGAGTTAATTTTTGTGTATGGGGACAGATAGGGGTCTTGTTTGAGTCTTCTGCATGTGATCAGCCAGTTTTCCCAGCACCATTTACTGAATAGGTTCTCCTCTCCCCAGTGGTTGGTGGTGGAGGCTTTGTTGAAGATGAGTTGGTTGAGAAATTGAGTTTTAGCTTCGTAAAATGATTTGGGGAGAGTTCCATCTTTCTCAATCGCCTGGAATACCTTCAGTAGGATTGGTATCAGCTCCTCCTTAAATGTCTTGTAGAATTCTGCTGGAAAGCCATCTGGACCAGGGTTTTTTTTTTGGTAGGTAGTTTTCTTATTACATAGTCAATTTCCTTGATTGTTATTGGTCTATTTAGGGTCTCAATTTCTTCTTGTTTCAACGTAGGCAGGTTGTGTGATGTCAGAAAGTCCTCCATTTCCTTAAGGTTTTCAAGTTTGTTTCCATACAAGTGTACGTAGTAGTCTCCAATGATCTTTTGTATTTCTTCAAGATCAGATGTGATTTCATCTTTTGTGTTTCTGATTGTGTTTATTTGGGCTTTTTCTCTCTTTTTCTTGGTCAGTCTAGCTAGGGGACCATCGATCTTGTTTATCCTTTCGAAGAACCAGCTTTTTGTTTCATTAATTTTTTGTATTATCTTTTTGTCTTCTGTGTCCTGGATTTGGGCTTTTATTCTGGTGATCTGGATTCTTCTGCTGAAATTAGGATTTTGGTGGTCTTGCTTTTCCAGCATACTTAGGTGACTTGTTAGGCTATTAATTTGTGATCCTTCCATTTTCTTCATGTGCGTTTGTAGGGATATAAATTCCCCTCTTACTACAGCTTTTATGGCATCCCAGAGATTTTGTTAAGATATTTCTTCACTTTCATTTGTTTCCAGGTACCTTTTAATCTCTGTTTTGATTTCATCATTGACCCAGGAGTTGTTTAGCATCATGCCGTTTAGTGTCCATGTCTTTGTGGGTTTTGGGGGGGACCTTGTTGGTGTTGATGTTTATTTTTATTCCACTGTGGTCCGAGAAGGTACATGATAAAATTTCAGTTCTTTTAAATTTGCTTATACTTGATTTATGGCAAAGTATGTGGTCGATCTTAGAGTACGTTCCATGCGGTGATAAGTAGAATGTATATTCTGTGGTCTTTGGATGGAGTGTTTTGTAGGTATCAATTAAGTCCATTTGGTCAAGAGTCACATTGGGGTTTCGGATCTCGTTGCTGATTTTTTGTCTAGATGATCTGTCTAGGGTTGTGAGAGGGATGTTGAAGTATCCAGCTATGATGATGTTGGAGTCAATATCTTTTTTTAGTTTACCTAGAAGCTGCTTTATGAAAGTTGGCGCTCCTATGTTGGGAGCATATATGTTTAAGATGGATATTTCTTGTTCATGGATGAACCTTTTATCATTATGTAGTGGCCTTCTGTATCTTTTTCAGTTTGTAATAGCTTGAAGGGTATTTTGTCTGAAATTAAGATTGCTTCTCCTCCTTTCTTTTGTGTTCCGTTCGCCTGAAAGTTTGTTTCCCATCCTCTTGCTTTGAGTCTATGAGTGTCCTTTCTAGTGATCTGAGTCTCTTGAAGGCAATAGATTGTTGCCTGTTGATATTTTATCCATTTTGCCATTCTATGTCTTTTCAGTGGTGCATTTAGTCCATTCATATTTAGGCTAATTATTGAAATGCAAGAGTTGATCCCTGTCATAAGTTTCTTACAGAGTTGTTGTTCCTGTTTGTTTGTTGTCTTTCTTTGGGTTTTGGAGTTGGTTCATGTGTGTTTTTAATCTTTTGCCTGTACTCTTGTGAAGAATGTTGTTGTTCTTTTTTCCTTTTCTTCTGTGTTCAGTACTTTCTTAAGTGTTTCTTATAGAGGTGGTCTGGTGGCAGCGTAGGTTCTTAGGGATTGAATATCTGGAAAAGATTTCAATTCTCCCTCACTAATGAAGCTTAGCTTGGCTGGGTAGGTTATTCTTGGTTGAAATTGTTTATCTTTTAGAACTTTTAAGATAGGGCTCCAGGCTTTTCTAGCCTAGAGGGTTTCTGTAGATAAATCTGCTGCTATTCTAATTGGTCTTCCCTGGTAGGTAGTCTGGCCTTTTTCTCTTGCTGCCTTTAGGATTTTTTCTATTATAGCTACTTTGTTTAGGTGAATTATTATGTGTCTGGGAGGTGGTCTTCTCCTTTGTTGTCTTGCAGGGGTTCTCTGAATCTCTTGTGCTTGAATTTTTGCATCACTGATGAGATGAAGGAAGTTTTCTTGAATGATTTCATGAAATGTTTGTTCCAGTGTGACCTCTGACTCTCTCTCTGCCTCAGGAAGGCCAATTACTCTTAGATTGGGTCTCTTGAAGTAATCCTTCATCTCCTGAAGGTTTTGTTCTGACTTTTTAAGCTTTTCTATGTTTTTGACAGTTTGGGTTAGTTTTGTATTTTGGTCTTCAAGCTTTAGATTTCTTTCTTCTGCTTGACTAATTCTGATTTCCATGGTTATTAATTTGAGATTTTTTTTTAAAGAAGGATTCACTAGCTTTTTTAGCAGGTGATACTCATGGATAAGATTTGTTACAGCAAAGGATTCAGAGCAAAAAAAGAAGAAAAAAAAAACAGGACAAAAAATATGCATCTGCTGTGGAGTCTAGAGAGGTCCAGAATAGCCCTACTAGTTCTTCTTAGGAGGCTACACAGGACATGTTTTCTTCTTGGTAGTGAACTACAGGGACATGTTTGGAATGTCTTTGCTCAGGGAAACCCACTCTAGTCTCAGGGTCTGAGGCTTATGAGGGGTTAGAGGGCTGGTCATGTAGGCATCTCCTGCTAGCACCTGACTACAGCAGCTGAAACTCAGTACTCTTAGTATTGAAGCCAGGGGCACATCATCAATGTTGATGTTTGTACAAAGGAATCCGAAGAAACTAATGTGGCATAGATCATTGTTCTGGCAGTAAGTCCCCTACATATGAACAAGTTCCATTCTGAGAACACATCTGTAAGTCCAATTTGTTTATAAGTCCAACAAAGTTAGCCTAGGTGCCCAAATAACACAATCAGGTATATAGTACTGTACTGTACTTTTCACACAAATTATACATAAAAATCAAACACTGTACCCTATACAGTATTATGCAGTAAAGTACGCAAAAGCACAACCACTTGTAGAGTGCACACACATGACAGTGTACACCAGACACATGAACTAACTTACATGATTGTATCTTTTAAAGTTCTCAACTTGAAGGTTCATATGTAGAGGACTTAGTGTATGTAACAAATTAATTAATCACTAACATAAAGAGCACTCTAAGGGTCACCTCAGGAATTGAGCAAGGATCAATCACGATTTTCTTGGAGACATGAAAGGAATAAGCAAGCCATGTTATCCTTCCTCACACCAATGGTGATATGTTCTGTGTCATTGTTTAGATTATATATTTGCATAAGGTTTTTAATTCCTTCCTTATAAAACTCAGTTAATTTTATAGAAATTAATGAGAAAGTTCCTGCTTTCAAGAAGTTCACAGTCATAATGTGATGAGTGTAAGAAAGAAGCAAATCAATAGTGTTAATATGGACAAGGTGGTGACTGTCAGGAGCTCCTTAGTGAGAGAGTCTTCCTGGAGGAAGTGCCATCTAAATGAGTAAAATCTATTACCTTATGATTCACCTAACTGGTTGCAGTGGCTCATGCCTGTAATCCCAACACATTGGGAGGCTGAGGCGAGAAGATTGCCTAAACTCCGGAGTTTGAGACCAGCCTGGGCAACATGGTGAGATCTTGTCTCTATAATAAATTTAAAAAGCCAGATGTGGTGGCATGTGCCTGTAGTCCCAGCTACTTGGACAGCTGAGGTGGAAGATTTGTGATTGTGCCACTGCACTCCAGCCTGGGTGAGAGAGTAAGACTTTGGCTAAAAGAAAAAAAAAATCACTCAATATATTTACTTTACACATCAGTGAATTTTCTAAAACAAATTTAATAAAAAGAAATGATACATTTGTTCATCCAACAAATATCCATTAAGTACTTGTTCAAGACACTCTTGCTAGATTTGGGGGATACCATGGTGAGCAAGACAAAATTCATGTCCTCATGGGAGCTTTAAGTAAGTGGAAGATAGGTGCCTGATAGTCTTTACTATGTTTTGTGAAAGATCTAAAATTATTTTCTAGTTGTTTATTAGTAGTGATAGTAGTGAATTCTTCATGAAGATTATTGGATTAAAATAATCCTGGGGAAAAGGGAATCTAGCTTTATTTCTTGACTGTACAATAAAAATATCTCAAGAACTGTCAAATGTACTAAGTTATCATTGTCTAAACTTTTCATTGAATGTGAGAACATGAACCATAAAGATCAGTATTTTGTTCATATTTATGTCATTGTCATTGATCCCTATGTTTTCCCTCATTAGTGGATGGTGAACTGTACACATTTGGAGAACCTGAGTCTGGGAAATTAGGTCTACCCAATCAACTGCTGACCAATCACAGAATACCTCAGCTGGTGTCTGTAATTCCTGAGAAGGTGATCCAAGTAGCTTGTGGTGGAGGGCATACTGTGGTCCTCACAGGTATGTGTGGAGCCTGCTATTCTGTTCTTTGTTTTTTATAGCGGCTAATGAAATTTTTTAATGTTCATTTTTCATTGTGTTAAGAACACGTAACATGAACTCTACCCTCTTAATAGATTTTTTTTTTCTTTTGAGTTGGTGTCTCACTCCATCGCCCAGGCTGGAGCGCAGTGGCATGCTCACAGCCACTCCAGAGTTTACCATCTAGGTCCCAGTGATCCTTCTGCCTCAGCCTTCCACGTAGCCAGAACTACAGGCACGTGCTGCCACGCCTGGCTAATTTTTGATTTATTGTAGAGATGAGGCCTCACCAAGTTGCCCGGGCTGGTCTTGAACCCGCGGGCTCAGGCAGTCCACTCGCCTCGGCCTCCCAAAGTGCTGGGATTACAGGCTGAGCCAGTGAGCCCAGCCTTAAGAGTTTTAAGTGTATAATACAATACTGTTATATGTAGGTATTGTGTTGTACAGTAGGTCTCTAAAACTTATCTTGCATAACTGAAACTTTATGCCCATTGTACAGTCACTCTCCTTTTCCCACTCCCCTTAGCTCCCAGCAACCACCATTCTATTTTTAGCCTCTATGAGTTTGACCCTTAAATACTTCAAGTAAACATTGCATTTCTTTCCATTAAGATCCCCAACCTTGTCCAGGTATGGTGGCTCACGCCTGTAATCCCAGCACCTTGGGAGGCTGAGATAGGAGGATTGTTTGAGGCCAGGAATTTGAGACCAGCCTGGGCAACATAGCAAAACGCCATCTCTAAAAAATTAAATTAAAAAATTTTAAAAAAGAACCCCACCTTTTGTTCTTATAGTTAATATACATTTCTGTTGTGTAGAAGAATTTTATAAAGTAGAAAAACATGAATCTTGTTGAATTGTATCTGCTAACATAATGGACATTTTCATGACCTTGACACATTTAATGGCAGCCTATTACATTGTTTTTAGCTCATTTTCAAGGACAAACTTTTTCTCATGTATATGTATTCCATATTTATCTAAAATTTGCATTTTTCCTGAAATGCCTTTTTTTTAGAGCAGCTCTTTGTTCATGCTATTTTCTACATTTTGTTGATAATTTTTTTCTCTGTGATATTCACATTGTATAACTTGGGAATTTCTTTGTGATTTTATGTTCTGTTACAGTAATTCATTAAAAAGTGGTAATGTTTGACATTATAGATAATGAAAGAAAATTAGAACCCCAGTAGTAATTTTACTTTTAGCTTCTGAATTTGATATTTGGTATGGCATGTCTTTTTTCAGGATTCTAATCACTATATTGAAATATACTTGCTACTTTCTAATATGCATACTACATTGATGCTCCCAAATTTGTTCAACATTAGATTTGTTTTCAATGTTGAATGTAAAGGTAATGTGATTAGGTAGTGAATTATGATGATGAATGTTTTTTTGCTCAAAAGAAATTAACAGTTTCTGAAGTCACCATTTAACTTTCAGTAACCCAAAGTTAGAACTGTTATAGACACATTTTGAATATCAGATTCTTAGATGATATGCCTAATGTTGCAAGATGAGTGAACAATATTTTATCTTTAGACTTATTTCTCTGATACTGCTTTTCCTTGACTTCTTGTTAAAGTCCCAGTCATGCGTATGAAGCTTTGGTTTCTCAGAATTACAGCTTCCAGATGGAATCGTTTCTAAATTAGAACTAATTTTTTTTCAAAACCTGTACTCTAAATTTGGAAACAATTCTAAGGTTTGAAATTCTAAAAAAATTTTTGTTGACCAAATGGATTTTCATATAATTTCAAAAGTATTTGTTCTGGAAATTAAACTTTGAAATTAATCTTTATACATTATCTAAAAATTCATTCCATAGGTTGATATGTAAATTATTCTTTATACAAAGATTATAGAAATAATTTACCAGGTGATTCTAGGTTATTCTGAAGGATATAAATGTTGCTTATTACAATGTCATTCAATCATACATTCTAAAATATTTTCATATAAAGTGAGCAATATCATCCATGATACTTTTAATTATACTTTAAAAATGTACTTAAGTGTAATATTTTTTGTCAGTATTAAAGACCTAGAACTTTCTGTGGACTTTGTTTTGAGATTTAAAAAATGTCTTCAAAAATTGATTGTGCTCTCCAGAGTTTTGCAGACTATGGGATCTCACAGACCAGTGAAGTTTGTTGTTGTTTTAATTATAAGATGCATCCATTTGACAGATCTGGCATAGGTACAGATGCAAGAAAAAAATGTCTTTGCACTTCCTGTCTGTCTGATTGTGGCAGCCAACATTGAATGGGGGAATACAGGAGAAAACCTTGGCAATACAGGGAAAACATGGAGAGATAATTTTTCCAATTCATAAATAACTTTGTAAACATTGAGGAGTTTGTTTTACAATCCAAATATCTAAAATTTGAGTTAAAAATAATTATGAGAAGCAACATTGGTTGCCAGTTTCTGAATTGCATCTATCTAAATATGGCCACTGGAAAAAAATAACTGTTTTCACCATGATAAGATAAAATACGGAACATTTTCAAAACAAAGAATACAAAGTTCTAATTGTGTAATAAAGCAGATATCCTTAAGTTGTATGAATTTATTTGTATGGAAAATTCACTACTTTGCCATGTGATTATTAAACTAAGAGATGGTGTTTTTGTATTAAAATAATTTGTTTTGCCATTGTCTCAATATGGCATCATATCCTTGATGCAGCATATTTTTAAGGAGTAACATCTATATATCTTATTTATGAAGCAAATATTCTTATTAGACAGAAAAAGTATAAAACCACATGGCAATAGACAAGTGTGTGTTTGTTAGTAACGCCATTGTCAGAATAAGATGAGTTGACTAGATAATTACTTTTTAGAAGCATGCTCTTTATAACTCAATATCCTATTAGGTTTTCAAATCTACCTGAAAGTTTTCTTATTTAATCCTGACAGCAACTCTATAAATTCGGAATTATAACATCAGGGAACCTAAGTAACTCACCTCCTTGCCACAGCTAGTAATAATGAAGATTTGGATTCTGGCCTGAATCGGAAGCTCTAGCTCTTTTCTCCTGTAGGAGGAGAGAGTCAGTGTTCTGAACTAAGGATAAATGACTAATGTCATCAATACTGTGCTTCCTAACATGGCAGCCAGGGAGATTATGTGTCTAAAAGGACTCATTCATCACCACTCATGTATCTGTTTTTGTACTTTTCCATTTCTAGAAATATGTGAGCTGATATTTACTGAGTTATTGGAGGTTCTTTGAAATCACTTCAAAAATATCTATATAGAGGAAAACTTTTTCTTCTCCTTATTGCATTTCCTAGTAAAGGAGCTTTACTTGTGAATAAATCTAGCATACCTACTGTTAGTTTTAATTCTCAAGACAATTCTCTGAAATTGGGTTTGATAAAATAAATTATGAAACTATTCTTAAAAGAAGTTTTTCTTTAGGAAATACTGTTTTTTATTTGAGGCAGCAAAAGGAATTAGCTTAATGACAGTGATGCTTTTGAGCTGAGGTGATAATTATAAGGACCTTTCGGTTAGTTCTCTGACTTTATTGTGTCTTTTATCATACTTGTTGCTTATTGATAGCAATTCCTTCTATGGTTATCTATAAAATAGAAAATTACTCCCATGCCATGATTTTTACAATTGTGTACCTTTTTATTTTTCTTTTCCTTCATCATTGAAAAAATTCATACTTCAGTATTAAATATTTTTATATGGGTATTTTTTTCAGAGGCACTTAACCTTTGTTATAAAAGGTTATAAGTCGATTTAGAGTATATAATACTCAGTGATTTATCACAGAAACAAAGAACTGAGTACCACATATTCTCACTCATAAGCAGTACCTGAACATGTACCATAATACTATTTAAAAGGAATTGGCAGTAGCCAGAAGCTGCCAGGGGAGGAAGGAGGAGCACATAACATTAATAAGGGTACCTGATCTTAAACAAGGCAATGTGGGGACCAAAGGGAGGCCCAAACTTTACCTGTGTAATGACCATTTGTATTGCTAACCCTGAATTTTACCCCACATCTATAAAATAAAATAAATAGATAAATGTCACAACTTTTCCATATATGATGGTTTCTGCTTCCATGCAATTCTTTTCTTGTATTTGCCTCGTTTTTATTTTTTTGTTTGTTTTTTTAGAGACAACTGTATATGCCTTTGGGCTGGGACAATTTGGTCAATTGGGTCTTGGCACTTTTCTTTTTGAAACTTCAGAACCCAAAGCCATTGGGCATATTAAGGATCAGAAAGTAAATTATATTTCCTGTGGAGAAAATCACACAGCTTTGATAACAGGTATGGATTACAATTTCTGTTACATACTTGTAGAACTGGGTATATTTTATTACAAAATAAATAATATATGAAATGACTATATCTAATTTAAGTAAATGAATTAACGACTGAGAAAAATAGTATTCCTTGATTAATATTCTCAAAGTATAAAGTTGCACATTGCTTTTTTATTATTTTAATTCAATTTAAAATAATTATAAATGATCCAAAGACTTAGAGCCTCAAAATAGGCCAATAATGTCAGAATGAAGACCATAGTATTGCACTTTGGCAGAAGACTGGAATTTTTTTTTGAAGTTGTATTAGTTTGAAGGTTCTTAATTCTGCTCAGGTGAGAGGGAAAAATTGAACAAGAGCTTTTTAAAAACTTTCTTTCGTTCAATCCGACAGAGCTGCATTTATGCTGAATAAATTCTTATGTTTTTGCCGCCAGGAGGCGTTTTCAGGAATGACTCCTTCATTCTCCTTCCACAGTGATAGAGAGAAGGGCACCTTAGAGACCACTGAGTGAATACCTTCTCTACTCTGTTGTTTTTCCTTTATCCAGGGAAATGTCCCTTTGAGCCTAATTCTCAGCCTCAAAGCTAGGTGTTGCTAATAATGTAGTACTCAGTAAAGATTCTCCCCCAAAATGATTTAGTCACTTATATGTTAGTAATTGATATAGTTCACAATTTTAAGTGCTTTGTAACGAAAGAGTCTGTGATTTCATTATTTCTAATTTAGAATGAAGTAAAGCATCAGGAAGTCAGAAATCATCTAGTACATGGAAATAATCCAGATATCAGTAGTCCTACTTTTTTTTTCTTCTTCCTAAGAAAGATACTGCTACAATAGAGCTCATCTAATGGTATCTAGTTAGGGAAATTAGGAATCAGCAAATGCAAGGTACTGCCATACATTGTAGCTTCGCCAAAGAACCTTCCAGAGAGGGCAACCTGCCCATTATCAAGTATCAATGTTCTTAATGTGGCACCAAACAGCATTCATTCATTGTCCTGTAAGATTTGTTGATATGTATCCCCTACTGTGGGGTTCTAATCTTAGTTTCTCTGTGCTTACTGTCATTTTTCATTAACTAAAAATTGCAACTGATGGTTAATATACCCTGTTTTTATGTGTCATCTATCATCCAATTAGAATATTTAGTTAAATTTTTGTAGTACCCTTCTGCCTGATGAAAAGAGTTATAGCACAGATAATTGAGCATTAACTTTACCTTTTTGCTCATAAGTTTCCTCCGGGGACAAGTGTTATGTTTTTTTCCCCTCCAGGTCTAATGAGGAGTATGTAGTGAGTTATCTTTACTCTTTCCAGTTCCCCATTATGGCCAGTGGCACAGATTTTTAAAATCTCGCTGAAGCTGGAAGTGCAATCAGGCAACTTGGATCAGAGTTTATTTTTTCGAGTAAACCACAGTAAAAAAGGCAAACCTTAGAAAGCATTTTGGATAAGGAAATCAGGCTCAAAAGAAGGAGGAGGAAGGGATTAAGGTCATAAGAACTATATATAAAGAAAGGAAATAAATGCCTTAGTAGTAAGAATTATTAAGAATCTAAAGAGTCTCAACCCTGGTTATCATTTATTTATAGGGAATCTACTTATTTTTGTAAATTAATTTTTGTACTTGCCACCTTACTGGATTATGTTCCTATTTGTGATCATTTTTCCGTCAATCCTCTTAAATTTCCTTAGTATGCAGTCACTTTGCTATCTTAAACCAGATGTTCCCAAATTTGATCTATTCATTTCCCAGCTTATAATCATTAATTTAGCTTTTTACTGTTCTAAGATAGAGTTCAAACATTCTTTATCTGAACAAAGTGGGACCCTCTGTGGGGTGGTTCCTTCTTACCTCCTCATACTCATCTCATACCATTCTTCCCTTTGTGCTCCAGGTACATTGGTTACCTTTCACCTTCTTAGATTGAACCATGTTTCCTCTTGATTCAGAGCCTTTCTTCGTACTGCTGACTCTGCCTGGAAGATTCTATGCTCTCTTCTTCTTGCAGCTAAACCTTATGCATCCTTTAGGTTTCAGTTTGGAAGCCTTCCCTAATCCCCAGACTAGAGAGAAATCCCCCTCCTCTGTACTATATTGACACCTTTTACTTCTGGTTTCCTGACATTTACCCACTTGAGATGGAGGGTAGGAAGGAGGGGCTTGAGGAAAAGAATGAAGGTTCATAATAGCTGATAGCTATGGCAGTGTGCAAAAGGATTAACTGAAAGAAGTGAGAAGATTACTCATCATCATTGTGGACCTAACTATAGAGGGGACCTAGGTATTGGTATAGGACCTAGTTAGCATGGTTGGCTTATGGCATTTCCTTCAATAGCATTCCACAGCCCAGGAGCTGAATTAGTAATAAGAAACAGTTGGATTATCTATGCCAATAGTTCACCACTAGTGGAGATTTTGTGTCCCCTCACCCCCAGAGACACACGACAGTGTCTAGATTGTTCTAGGAATTTAGTGGATTGAGACCAGGGATGCTGCAAAACATCCTACGGTGCACAAGACAGACCCACATGACCAAGAATTATCTGGCCCTAAATGTCAACAATGCCAAGGTTAAGAAACTTCAGTCTATTAATGACCTCAGGAAAAAGAAAATAGATTGTATTGGGATGTAGAGGGTCAGAATATAAGCGTCTCCTTCCCCTTGAGAATATGATGTGTATTTACTCTGTATTGTTACTCCTCCACATAGTGACTTTCACGACAGGACTTCAGTTTCACAAACCACCAACATGTAGTGATTTATTCGTAGAATATCTATTACCTGATGTTATATACAGGACCATAGAGAGTGTAGAAAGATCAATGGACCAGAGTAAATTCAATACAGAATTTGAGAGGAAAATTATAATTGTAGTGTAAGTTAATATATTTGTCTGTTTACAAATATATCCATACAAGTAACACTTTTGTAATTTTCTTCATTTTTTTGTATTTTAGACACAGGCATTTTGTATACTTTTGGAGATGGTCGACATGGAAAATTAGGACTTGGATTGGAGAATTTTACCAATCAGTTCGTTCCCACTATCTGCTCTAGTTTTTACAGGTTTAAAGTTAAATTGGTAAGGGTATCATATTTTCCTGTTTATATTTTATATTCCTATATTTGAATCTTTCAGCATTTTATAGCAAATAAGTACTTTTGTGTTTGTATGAAAGAATGTCATGGATATAGCTAATAAATATGCTAGTTTTCTAAAAGCCAAATATCAGACACTGTGCCACTTTGAGAATGTATTTCTTTCCTAATTTTCCTCCTTTAGCATCTTTTTTCCCCCCAAATCTTGACTACTCACTTTGTTTTCACATGTCTTATACTTTACTTCTAAGTAAAGAAGGAGGATTGGAGTCATAATTATCCTGAGAGACTGATTTATTTTTGGGTCACTTTCTTCCAAAGAACTTCTCTGAGAAATTTTTTCAAGTTTTTAGTGTAGCTCCCAGATTAAAATATAACATTTTCTAGCTTGTAAGGAGAAACATAATGTGCCAAGTAATTTTGTCTCTATATTATATTAAATTGAAAGTGAAATGGTGAATTAAACTTGTTCTAATGTTCAATAATAGTGTTTAAAGGATATGTATTATAATTCATATATATATATTTTGTGTATGTGTGTGTGTGTGTGTGTGTGTGTAGAGAAAGATTCAGCAAGTCAGGCTAGGACGTTTACCACTAAGTAAATATGTTATAGCTAATAACTGTTAAAACCCTATTTGTTTGAAGCCAGTGTTGATTAATTTTTCTGTGGATTTCTATAGGTTACTTGTGGTGGATGTCACATGCTAGTTTTTGCCATTCCTCAACATGGTGCGGCAGAAAATATTGAAATCAGTGAAATAAATGATTCTTGCTTCTCTGGACCGACTTCTCTGCCCATGGGCAATCTTACCTCAGGGAACATGCTACAAAGAACTCTATCAGCACGTATGCGACGAAGAGAGAGGGTACAATCGTGGCCTATTCCATATAATAGTATTATCTAGCACTGCAAAGAAAATTTGAAGAAAAATACCTATTTTCTTCTAAAATCAAACAAGGGTCTTAGATAATTTGCTAAATAAAATTGAGTTGGGGGCCTACGAACTTATAAAGTGAATTTAGAGTTAAGCTGTTAAAAGCACAATTTAAAAAATTGAAATCATCGTGGATAACCTTTGCATATAGATTGAGGTGCTAAACAAATCATTCTTCTGTAGGACTATTTTATCACCTAAGATCGAATGCTAAATTGTTTTTCAATTGCATGTGAATATGCTTTTTTATTGTAGCAAGAACACTTAATGTAAAATCTACCTACTTAACAGATTTCAAGTGTACAATACAATATTGTTAACTATTGGTACAATGTTATGTTGTACAGAGATCTCTAGAACTTAATTATCTTTCATAATGCTACATTCTTCTATCTTTTAGCTATACCTCATGAGCAGTAGATGGTCATACTCTATAAACAATGAAACATGAAAAACAAAGAAATAAGGACTTCAATTTAAGAGAGAGAATATTCTCTCAATTAAATTTAAAGTTCTCTTGTGTTTTAAAATTATTATTTCAATACATATTTTTTAAAAGTAAATGGCAGATAATTTTTAAAGGAGACAGTTCTTTTTTGAAAAGTACTGTAAGTTTCAAAACAGTTTTCAAAGTGAAAAGGTTAAACCTGACACTTTATTTTAGAAAAGTACATATGGAAATATAGAGAGATAGCCCATCAATGTTTTGTAGTTGTTTATTTGCATCTCATGAGTAATTTTTTTGTTTCTTGGGGAACGTAGAGAATACGCACACACGTTTTTTCCCATCATGTGAAAAAAAGGCTTATAAACTGAAATTTAGGGAAACTAAGATATGGAGACAAAGGAACAAAATGTTTTTGAGCTATTGGGGATTATAAAAGAAGTGAATGCGGTGGAATATTGTCAGACTTTGAAGTCTTTCTTTTAAATATTTTTAACAACTGCAGAAACTTTACATCAATATTAAATATGCAAGATCATTTAACAGTTTATTTCCCCTACTTATTTTAAAGGAGAAATCCCCAGATTCTTTTCTAATGAAGCGAATACTACCTCCAGTAGAAAAGACTGCCTCCATACCTACTTGTTTTTCCCCCAGTTCAGTCTCTTCATGTTTGCCTAAGAGTAACCTGCCAAAGAAAAGCATATGTGAAAAGGACCTCAAGCAGCCATTGAAACCAGGTAACATTTGCTATCCTATCTAATCTCAGGAGAAATGTGCCTTTTATTCCTATTGTTTTCATGTTTATCTTAAGATTTTTCTCCAGTTAAATGGTTTGCTCCCTGGTTAGAGCCTGACATCTTTCAATTGAACTCAAATCCACGAATACACTTACAAATGGAAAGCACCGTCAGTGGCTCTAAGACTACCATGTAACCACCAGCAGCGTATCTTTATAGAGCAGTGGATAGCATATATAGTACCTTTTCGTACTCTATCTCGTTTAAACTCTGAAACAACTTGATGAGCTAGGAAGGGGTGATATTCATTTTACAGATGAGGAAAGCAAAGCTTGATGAGATCAAGTGACTTCCCCAAGGTCATTCAGCGTATAAATGAAGTGGACAGAACTTGCTTGCAGGTCTTCTGGACCTATGTGAAATTCTATATTTAGGCAGTTCAACATAGTAGTTTAGAGCATGGGATAGGGAGTTAAATTTATCTGGGGTCAGATGCCAGATCTGACATTCACTAAGTCTGTGACTGACTTTGGAAAGGTTATTTAATCTCTTTATGCTTCAGTTTCTTTGTCTTTGAAATGTATTTAATCACACTGACTTCAGAGAGTGATTCTAAAGATTAAATGACATCAGGCATATAAAGTACTTATCGTTGAACCCAACACTTCTAGAAACTGCTTAATAAATTAAAATTATTATTGGTTAGAATTATTAACACCTGTACCTCGCTGCCTATTAGATATAGATTTTCTGTTTTAAATTATGATTCCAGCACTTTCACTATTGTACACTTCTAAATAATTTTGTTTACAGACATTTGTGTATCTTAGGAATGTATATATGTTATTGCAGGGCATGTGCTTGGATGATAAGGGCAGGATCAGAATCCAGGACCAGGACATCAGAGAGTAAGCAGCAGGTTTGAAATTAAGAAGATAAACCTGGACATCAGGGTTTAAGAACCATGACACAGATAATATTTAATATCTTTGAGATCAAGATCCTAGGCAAAAGGTTGAGGCATAAAGGATTAGGAACTCAGGCAAGAATTGTGGGCCATAGGAATGGAATATTAACTATAACTAGGACTTCAGTAATCAGCTGATTTTCTTCATCTGACCCACAACTTTTGTGTGTTTCCTTTTGAAATAAGAATCCATGTAACCACCATGTGCAATTCAGTTCCATGTCTAATGGTGTTCTTCAGTACTGGACATAGAAAAAGTAATCGATTCTAACAAGCAATGTGTATGAGAAAAAGAGAAGTTTATGGTTCAGGGAAAGTTGTTTCCCACAACAAGAGATTTGAATGTGAAAATATATGTGATTTTGTAGCTAGATCAAAAGGAAAAGCCATCTCTTATCTTTTTGTGGCTATTTGCTAAAACTCTCTTAATAAAAAGTCTTTTGAAAGTTGTATCCAACATATAGTGTGACTTCTAAATGATTCACAGACTTCAATCTTCATAATGGGGAAAGGGGGTCAAGATAGGTCTTGCTGAGAAGGTGCCATTTAAGCTAAAACATAAAAGATAAGAAAGATAGCCGGGCTCGGTGGTTCAGCCTGTAATCCCACACTTTGGGAGACTGAGGTGAGTGGATTGCCTGAGCCTGCGGGTTCGAGACCCGCCTGGGCAACTTGGGGAGACCTCATCTCTACAATAAATCAAAAATTAGCCAGGTGTGGTAGCATGCGCCTGTAGTTCCAGCTACTTGGAGGGCTGAGGCGGAAGATCACTGGAGCCCAGCAGGTCGAGGCTGTGGTGGCCGGGAGCGGCCACTGCACTCCAGTCTGGGTGACAGAGATAAGAAAGGTATGGCCGCTCAAAGAGAGTGTATGCATTTCAAGCAAAGAAAATAATATAGACAGAGGTTTGGAGGCAGTTCTTAAGAAAGGAAGAGACAACCAGTGGGGCTAGAAAGTAAAGGAAAAAGTAAGACAAGATGATGTTGGAGAAAGAGGGAAAAATTATTCATGGTTTTGGAGACCATGGAAGGCCTATTTGATTGGAATGTTTTTCTTAAGTGAATTAGAAAGCCATTAAAGGGTTTTAAATAGTTGATTGATATGTTCTGATACAATTTCTACTTTAACATGATCACTTCTGCCTCCATGTAGATTGTACAGAGGCCAGATTAGAAGTAGAAAGAATACTTGTGAGCCTCTTACAGGAGATAATGGTGTATGGACCAAAATGTTTGCAATGGAGATAGAGAGAAGATAAGAGGGCAGATTTGAAATATATTTTTGACGTGGAACCAACTGGACTTGCTAAACGTGTTAATGTATTACACATAAAGGGAGGAATCAAGGATGATTCCTAAGCAAGAGGATGGATAACAAGTTTAAGGAAAACAATTAAAAATTGAGTCTGAGATATCTGTGAGACATCCAAGTAGAAGTATCAAGCAGATGATTGAAAAGCAAGCCTAAGGTTTAGAAGAGAACTCTGGACTAGAGATATACATTTGAAAATCATCAACATAAAGCTGATATTTAAAATCCTTGGAAGTTAGTTAATTCACTTATTAGAAAGTAAAGTCAGAAGAGAAGAAGACCCAGGATGTAGTCCTAAGAACATCCAATATTTAGAAGGTAGAGGAGGAAAAGTTAGCAAAGAAGCCTTCCTTAGCCTTGTCAGCAGTAAGGTAGGAGGAGGGAAATTAGGATAATATATTGTCATGAATGCAATGTACTGCTCGAAGGACTTAGGAAAGAACTCAAAGAATCAGCCAATGGATTTGGTATCATGGAGATTACTGGTGATTTCAACAAGAGCAGTTCCAAAGGAAGTTCGGAGGTAGAAGCCAGAGTTAAGATATGAATGGTAAATGAGGAAGTAAAGAGGAGATAGGATGTGTAGATAAATGGTTTGCAGATTTGCTGATGAAGTGGCTAGCAGCTAGAGGGAGATGTGAGCTCAATAAGAAACATAGGAGCACATTTGTATACTAATAGATGACCCAATAATCCAGGTAAGATAAGTGGCACAGGAGAGAGAAGGTATAACCAAAGGTCCAAAGCTCCTGGAAGACAGGAGGGGCTGGCATACAGAGCAGTCTTTGGGAACAGGAATAACACACTCTACATTTTAACACACAAATGAGAACTTTTGTACAAATGTAGGTAACTGTGTACCTTTGTTGATGAGAATAAGATTCAGCGGATCAGATCTGACGGCTTCTGTTTTCTCAGTCAAGTCTGAGGCAAGGCCATCAACTTAAATAATCTGCTATGTATTTTCCATACCTATGTTCTCTGCCTCTCCAATCCATCCTGCATAACACTTTCCACATTAATCTTCCTCATGTGCAATTCAGTTCCATCTGCTCCAGTGTCCTTAGCAAATCCCTAATATGAAAATAAGCGTATTTTTTTCCATATAACTCTCATCTGCTTTTTTAGCTTTATCTCTCAATAGTCTTTTTCTTAGAACCTTCATTTAGATCAGTAGTCTGCAAACAGTGGCCCATGGGCCAAATCTAGCCAGCCACTTGTTTTCATAAATAAATTTTATAAGAACTCAGACATACATTTCTTTATGTTTTATCTATGGCTGCCTTCACTCTACAATGTTGGAGGTTAGTTAGGATAGAGACTGTATGACCCACAAAGCCTAAAATGTTTGCTGTATGACCTTTTAGAGAAAAAGTTTGCTGGCCCCTGATTTTGATCAAATTAAGGCATTCACAATCTGACTTAGTGGAAAGAACAAGGGCTGTGGAGTCAGACAGAGCTGAGATTAACACTGGGTACCAATAGGGTCACTGAAACCTACTTTTCTCGCTCACAAAATGAGGATATAATGCCTCTATTATTGTCACAGAGTTAACCCAACATATGTAAAATGTTAAGCCTTCAATACAAGCTTCTTTCCTCTGTATCATTCTCTTCCTATTCCTTTGCTCAGAGTACTGTTCTGCTGCTTTACTGGAAATGGGCTTCATTTTCTTCTCCTTCCACCTCCATTTCTACCTCTCAGAAGTCTACTCACTTTTCTGTGACCTCCTTAGTGAAACCTCTTCTGATTCCTAACATATGGATGTAATTGCTCATTTCTCTATAGCAATATGTTTTATTACTTAAGTTGCTATTCTGCCTATTATTGCTCATGGGATTGATAAAATTATTACTTGCTTATTTGATTAAATGGATTTAAAAGGGAGAGATCAATGTGGACTGACATTTTTTCATGAAGGCTTCATTAAGTAACTACTCTCAAATAAATAAGCAGGTGATAAATGAAGGTATAGTGAGAAATTAAGTTAATATAAGGTCAAATAGAGCTTATGACTTTTCATTATCTACTTTATGATTTAATAACCTTGCAGTTTTCTGTGAAAGATTCTAAGTGCTTGTACTGGTTTTCTGTTGCTATACTAAAAGATAGCCCTAAATCTTAGCAAGTTAAAACAATACACATTATTTCATAGTTTCTGAGTGTCAAGAATCCAGGAGCTGCTTGGCTGGGTGGTTCCTGTTTAGGGTCTTTTAGGGGTTGTAGTCACACTGTCAGAAGAGGCTGCAGTTATCTTAAGGCTTGACTGGGGCTGGAGGATCTACTTCCAAGCTCATTTACATGGCCGTTGGCAGGAAGTCTCACTTCCTCACTATATAGGCTTCTGCATAGAGATACTCACGACATGGATTCCCCCAAAGTGGGTGATGAGAGAAAGAGAGAGAGAGAAAGAGCACACACATGTGCATAACCAAGATAGAGGCTATAATGCCATACAAAGTCGTGTCTGCTTTATTTTATTGGCCATGCATATATAGACCAACCTGGTATAAGGTGCAAGGTAATTATACAAGGGTATGAATACCAGGAGGATATGGATCTTTGTGGTCCTTCTTAGGACTATCATAGTGCTCAATACCTGGGTATTTATTTCAAGTGAATAGTGTTTGCCTGTCCATATGAATGAAGCAACTGTAATCTAATCAGTGTTGAAGTTTTTAAACTATCTAAAAGAGATTTTAAAACCTGTTATCACAGTGAATGAATTCTGTTCAATTCACTGACATGAGGCTAGAGGACTTGTAGTAGAATTATACCTGTGCTTTATATTACAGAGTAATGTCTGTTTTCTATCCAGTTGCATTTTGTTCTTCTGTTGAAATCTGAATTTCCTTTTTCTCTTTTGACCATTCAGATTATTCTCAAGATAAAATGGCCAAAGAGACAGAGACAGAAAATTCTTCAGCCACAGAAAGCCTTGAAGAAACTATTGATGTCTTAAATATGGTAATGCTTTCCTATCTAGCTATGAGTTTGAATTTCAGTTCAGAGTGTGTGTGTGTGTGTGTGTGTGTGTGTGTGTGTATACTGCCTATATTTTTATATACATAAAAAACTGTTTTGTGTTTCGTTTTGTTTGTTATTTTTGACCAATGTTGTTGAACAAACAATAAAATTTGTTTTGATCCTCATATCATAAGTATGGCAATTGGGGATAGATTATATTACTATCTGAACTGTTTTGCATTTATTATATACACACATATATTTATTTAGGATGTATAAATATAGGATCATATATATAGTCTTTTTTTAAGAATATATATATATATATATATATTTGTTTATTTCAGACACATGTGATGAGCCCGAATTCCAAAGAGAAGTTACTCAAATTATTGCCAGTTCAAAAACAAAAGGTACACTATAGAGATTTATTTTCATTATTATGGGTAAGAACAGTTTAAGCTAATTTTTTGGGAGGTTTCTGGAAGGAACACAAGAAAGGTAAGCATTCACTTACTTTAGAAATTAAAAGACAGAGGAATACAGTGTAGATAACCTGCATTTTCACTTGTTCTGTTGGTATGTATTTTCTGTGATGTGACAAGAGTAATAGAATTTTATTGCTGAAATGTGCTCTTTGGAGTTACCAGCTTAAGTTATAATAGCCATACTTTTCTTTCTGCCAAGCAATGGATTATGATTGCAATTCTTTTGTATATGAAGAGACTACTGTTTGTTAATAGAGTGAATCTCTGACTTGGGTTGAATATGACTTTGAGTGAGTTACTATGCAGACTTTACTGGATGATATTAATATATTTTCTAGTTTTAAAATTCTGTGATTTTAGTGAAAATAGTTGATAATCTTTTACTTTTTGAATTGGGCTTTCAGTTATCAAGGAATTAGTAACATGAAAATAAGGTTAAAGTAAACATTTGGAAATTAGAGACCATTCATGGGTAAGAAAGAGGGACTTTTAACAAATAATGAATAGCAAGAGAAAGGAATAGACTGTTTTTCACAACCTTGGAGAGATAAAGGCCTGCCTTGAAATCTTTTGCTTTTCCAGGCTTTAAGGACTAGTGCAGTTAAAGGATGAGGGGTTTGGGGATTAGGAAAGTAAATTGGAGAAATATAGATTGAGGGGAGAAGGCTATAGAAAATATTTAATTTATATTTATAGTGATGTTGCTGTATTTTCACCTTTAAAATTCTTAAAATTGAAGCCACTAAAACACAAGAAAGTCTTGCTAAAATAAAAATTTAGAGTCAGTCCTCAGTAGTTCTATCCATATTACTGAGAGACATGGTGAATAACAACGTTCCTTTGAATATGGGAGAGAAACTTTCCTAACACAGAAAAAACAAAAAAACAAAAAAAAAACTGAATGAATGTTGACTGACTTGACTAACTACTTCCAAGCAGACATCTTTCTTGTGTCATCTCTTCCCTTTCTCTTAGACTCCAGGCTTTGCCTCTTCTGGGCTGCTTTATTGTACTAGGGAAAGAAAGACATGGACATTAGAAATCAGTTCTGGCAAGTAGGCCTGTCTTTTTTAAGGGCTCTTGAAAGAATCGTGACTTTTTAAAGAACAAGACCTAGAATAACTAGAAAAGGAAAGCACTTTCTTTGAAGCTGATATATATGTCTTATATCCATGTAGTCCTTCTAAGTGTAGGCCCTACCAGGCCTCTTTTAATAAATAAAACAAGACTTACTATACTATTTCTATATATTAAGTTGTTAATTTTTAACTTGTCCTGTTTTAATAATTTTTTTGACAAAATATGAACCTTGTACTAGGCCTAGAGCTCACCACAATTTTAAAATTTGAATTAGATTTTACTGTTCAGATACCCAAATTCATCGTATATTTGAATCCATTAATTTTTTTGTAGAATTTAGGTCAACAATTTGGTTTTGCCTTATTTTGTCCAGCAAGAAATTAATTTCATATTGTTAGTGTATTATTCACCTTTCAATATTTGATTTTATAGCTTTTATACAAATATTACATTTTATAGTCAGTATTCTTTCCTTTTATTGATTTTTGCATGTACACAAACTATTATAATTAATATAACAGATAAAGAAGAGGATCAAAACCCTGAAAATCCATATAACATTTTTATTTAGAAAAGAAAACATATATTCATTATTGTTTTATTTATAAAATATTTCATATGCAGTTTTTATATCAAGTCTTATAGAAACAAACTTCAGTTTTTCAATTTTTGTATTTTAAATTATTTTCTTTAATTTTGTAAATTGTGTAGATTTAAAAGACAAATCAAAATTTGAAAATTAAAAATGACAGGCAAGGTGTAAAAATTATACTGAGCTACACTTCATACAAGACAAGTGTAAAATTTTTAATAGCATCTTGCAAATCAATCTGGAAATAAGTTTTCTGTAAAGATTGATTCAGATTGAGAAAGGGGGCAGAGAATAAATATTGATATTATGAATAATGGCAAAATGAAGGCAGATAGTAAGAATTGACAGTTAAACACAGATGTGTGTTACTAAATAGAAATTAGATGTACCAAAGACATAGAGAATGGTATAAATTGCCCCTAAAGAAAACAAAACATTAGCAAAATGTCTGATAAAACTGGGCATTTTAATTCTCATGGTGAAACTTATAAAAATGTAAAATCTTAGCAGTAATTTATAGTAGATAAGTTACCTTTGTCCACTAATAATAGTAGTATGACAATTACTTCAAAAAACTTACAGAAACAAGAAACAATTGGGAAACTGATGCAGCATACAGCTCATACTGAAAATGACGATAGTGATGAATATGAAGAGATTTCAAAAATGAAAGAAGGGAAAGCATATAAACAACATGTGGCAAAAGAGATGTTCATGATGCAAGCAGCTACAACTGAGGAAGTATTTTCAGATGAGGAAGTAGATGATGACTCTAGCCAGGCAGGAACTCAGGCTGATGCCAGTGGAGAGGATTTGCAAAAAGAGAAATTAAGGCATGAAAATAAAAGTGATGTTGATCAACTTGATATTAAGGATATAGAAAAGGAAAGTGATGAAGAACACAGTCAGGATTCAGAACCAGAAGAAATCATCTCTGAGATAGAAACTAACCTGGTGGAAATGGCAGGAATGACAGATATAAGAACAAAGGAAAGGAATATTAAATGCATTAATACATTGTTTGACAACTCACCAAATAGAGGCATCAATAGTGAGAGAGAAGAAAATAAAGATTTGGCTAAGGAAATGAAAAGTAGCAAGCAAGATGTGGCCTATGACAGTGAAACAGAATTGATAGAAGAGTCAGACAGTTCTGAGGAAGGTGAAAGTGAGAGTCAGCAGGATTCAGCTGTTGAGTTTGAGCTGCCTCAGTCAATAAAAATAGAGAAAGAGGATGAAGTGAAAAGTAACCAACACTGGTGTTATAGCAGAGAATTGGTTGAACAAGAAAGTGAGGAAGAGACTGAACCCATAGTATCCGAATTCATGACAAAATGCGATTTTAAGCATGATCACTTGTCAGAGATCCCAGAGGAGAAGGAAGAAGCAGAGAATTCAGAAGGAAATGAAGTAGAGGAGCAAGAGGTAGAGGCAAATGAAAATGTGGAGATGCATGGAAGAAGAAAGGAGGAGGAAATAGAGATCCTGAAAGATGACCTTACAGACAAAGCAGAGGTGAGTGAAAGCAAGGAAAAGCCAGGGGGAGAGGCAGAGGAGTGTCCTGAGCGTAGAGGGGATGGAATCTGTGAGGAGGGTAGTTCAGGAACGAAACACTGGGAAAGAGAGGAAGGGGATGAAAATGGGGAAGAAGATAAGGAAGAAGGGGACATTGAGAGTCTGAGTCAGGGAGAGAAGGACCTAGAAGAGGAGAAGGAATGGGAGAAGAAAGATGAAGAACAGGCAAGAAAGGAGAAGGAGCAAGGCCATCAGAAGGAAAACCAAGAGATGGAGGAAGAAGGAGAGGAGCAAGGAGAGGGGGAAGAAGAGGAGGAGGAAGGGGAGGAGGAGCAAGGGGAGGGGGAAGAAGAGGAAGGAGACAGAAAAGAGGAAGAACAAGAGGAAGAAGGGGAGGTGAAGGAGGGAGAAGGGGAAGACGTGGAAGGAGAAGGTGAAAAGGTAGAAGGAGAGGAGGAAGAAGAGGGAGGAAAAGAAGGAGAGGGAGAAGAGGAGGAAGGAGAGGAAGAAGGAGAGGAGGAATGGGAGGAAAGAGAGGAGGGAGGGGAAG